TTTGTCTGATTTCGTTGTAAAGTCCTATCTTTTTTACCTCTTTGAAGACATTATTCCCTGATTTTTATCGAGAGTTTTCTTAGGTGACTTCGGTCATTTAAGATGTAATTAACTATAGGGGTTTGCCCTTATAGGAAGCTTTTCCGAACCCAGCTTAAAATAAACCCTATTTAATTATTTGTATTAAATAGGGGAACTTGTCGGCAAATAAAATGGTTTCGCAGACCCAAACGGATGTCATATATTTTCCTAGTTTATTTGATTGAGCCTCATCCTCAAGTCTTGTGTTTATCCCTCGAGGTAGATACAGGATTTGAGGTAGAGTGTTCTTTCATTTAAACTGTGAAAAATATGGGGTCAGTTTGATTTCATATTTTTCTAAAATTATATATATATATATAGATACGTAAATTAAAAAGTCCTTCCGAAGCGGGCGACGGGATTTCGATTCCGGCTGCCGACAGCTTCTTACGGGCGACCCCCCCAAACAACCTTTCTTTCTTTTTAGTGCCGACAATGTTGTAACTTATAAACTTGAAATGTAAGAACAATTCCACTCATTTTCGTTCACATCATTAAAATAGCAGCTTACATTCTCTTCTTATTTGGATTTTAATGTTATAACCTTTCAATGTAAGATCAAAACCTCTTAACTCTCTTTTACATCATTAAAACTAGCGGTACATGTGTTTTTTAAAAATTATAAAAAACATTTGATCAATAAATGAATACATAAAAATTTTCTAAATGGATGGCTAATTGTACAAGAAGGCAATAGTAATTTTCAATGTGAAGAGTCTTATGAATAACTGGAATCAAACATATAGATTACTAATGATATTTACAAGGCATTTGCTGATTTTAATGAGTGAAAAACATGATAAAATTAGATTTTTAACAGGTTTCTAAATATTATCCAATCTTATTTTCCATGTCAAAGATTAAACTTGAAGTAACTTCAAACAAAAGTAATTTTTATGAAAGATAAATATTAACTCTCACCAAGGAGGAAACGTGTTGTACATTAAAAAAGAAACCTTAGAAGGAAAAAGAAAAAAAGAAAAAATGAAGAGAATAACGGTTACTCTAAGCCAAGGAGGAAATGTATCTATGCATGCACCTTAAACTCTGCAGGCTTGGAGAAGTTATTACTATCAGTATTTAACCCATGCAAAAGGAAAAGCAATGGATTTCCTGATTCCCCACTTAAATCATGCAGAACTTGTGCCATCTCATCGGAAAAATATGTCATATCAACCATGTATTTCTCCTGCAAGCATAGAAAGAGACCTCTAATATTCCTGAATAAAACTTAAATTAAGCATGTGAAACTTTAAATCTATAGAAAAAAATACTATAAAGAAAAATTACCTTAAAGTAAGATAATGGCTTTATCTTGCCCAACCAAACAGCATACTCAACAGGCAACCGTGGCGCAAACAAAATAGACTGCCCTGATATAAGATCCTTGAAAAACAAAAACTTGATTAGTGATGAAATAATATGCTACTAAATAGATTTAATACAGCAAATAAGTCGTAGAAAAAATTGTTACAGCATTTATCAAGAAATTATACTAGATAGTACAAAACTGTGTTGTTGAAAACGCTTAACAACATTCATCAAGCTTTTGTTGTGGGTAGTGTTAATTTTATTGAAGAAAGAGCTGTCAATATAGCTCAATGATTGGCTTCATTCAAATGCGAACAAGACAGTCTTGAACAATATGAATAAGCTTGTTTAACAAATTAGCTAACCCGAACACGGCAAGGATAAAATTAAGAGGTTTAAGCTATACACGTGCATTGAATAAATATATATATATATATATATATAGGGGGAAAGACGAAATCGCCAGCGACTCTAACCTCGTCTTTTCGCCAATCTCGATCCACACTGCCCTCGCTCTCGTCGCCGCAGGATCGAGTGGCGAAACCCAGAAGCAGATCCTCTCCGTGCTTAGGTCGGGCTCTGCCGGCGATCTAAGCGCTTTCTCCTCCCAAATCGCCGACGTCGTCCTAAAGGACGGGTTTCCTTTGGGCGGGCCCAGACTGGCATTCACTAATGGCGTCTGGGTCGATGCATTGCTTTCGCTCGAATCAACTTTCAAGGAGGTAGTTACAACTGCTTACAAGGCCGAGACCAAAGCTCTCGATTTCCAGGAGAAGTTGTGGTTTGCTAAGATTGTCGTTGTGGTTTCGACATCTGCGGTTCGTCTTCTGCGCAGCTTCGCCCTCGGCTCATGTTTTTTTGCCCTCGGCTTGACTTGTAGTGCTTTTCTTTGTTGTGATGGAGCTTCCTCCTTCAGTTGAGCCCGGTAAAACCTCTTTTGCCCATATTGTGGGTAATCCTCAGGAGGAGACGGCGGTTGTCTTCCCCTCAAGTTATAAGGAGAATCGTAATGGTACACGTGACTGCCCCTTTATTAAGAATACAAGCAGGAAGAGTGGGAAGGCAGCACTATTTTTCTCTGAGTCATAAATTTCAACCTTGACTGAAAAATTCAAATTTGCTCTCATTGGAAAATTTCACTGAGGACACCCAGCTATGGAAGTTATCAGGAAAAATTGTGATGACCTCAAATTAGCAGGAAAGTAGAAAGTGGGGCTCATGGATGAGAGACATGTTTTGATTCAGTTAACCGTATCTGAAACTACACTCGTATTTTCTCCAAAAAAATATCTTAACATTGTTGGTAAACCAATGAAGCTACTCAAGTGGTCTCCTGATTTTGACCCCAATCATGAACCTCCTACTGTACCGGTATGATTTAGTCTATCTGGTCTCAAGCTGCATTTTATTCATCATCAGGTTCTCTACTCTATTGGTGTCATACTTGGAGACCCAATGAAGCTAGATCTACCCACTTTCAAACTTACCAGACCTTCTGGGGCCAGAATATTTGTGAAAAGAGATATTACTTTATCTGATGTTACTGAAGTCTGGTTGGGCACAATGCATAATGAATATTGGCAACAAATTGTCATAGAGCATAGACCTTATTGTTTTTATTGTAAGATGTTTGGGCATACTCTTGATAAATGTCATAAGTTTCACCCTAATTTGAATTTTAAAGATCAAATGAATAAAGATAATTCTAAGGATATATTTGTACCACCTGGAGAGAAAGTTACCACAGGATAGATTTTGGTGTCTGATTCTTTTGCCCCTACCGTTACTTTTACTGGGAATGATGTGATGCTGACACCTTCAAACCCCATAGAAAACAATACTGATGGACTATTACCTACAAATGATAGTGTTCAGACTGATAATCAGGGAGCCTCGTAGCTCCACTTCTTCAGGAAGTATTCGATGTAATATACTAGAACCTATTATGGGTACCACGGCTGGGACTACACCCCATCAGACTGATTCTTCGGATGAGGAATGGCAGGTCTATTCCAGGAGAAAGAAGAAGAATGAAGACCGACTCCAACTCGGGAACATATTGGATGATCCATTGGTTACTACTGGCAATGACAATCATCTTACAAACTTATTAGTTTACTCATTCCCTAAAACTAGAGGCACAGGCAAGACCAAATTGGGTCGTTCTCTAGCCACCTGATATTATGTATTTCGGCACTGTTAGGCTTTTATTTTAGTATCTAATGTATTTTCTTTTTTTTTTAGTTTTGAAATCTTTTGTGGTTTTTTGTGTGGATAGGGTGTCATGCTTGGGCCCTCCCACACATTGTATTTGTATCTTTTTTTTCTATTTAATATATTAGCCTTTTTTTGGGCTTTCAATATATATATATATCAGATGGCGATTTCGGTCATCTTCATCGTCTCTGCTAGGGTTTCGAATGACGATTTTGGTCGTCAATGATTCAGTCGCGTATGATTCAGAAGCAATCGAAAAAAAAGGGCTAGCATCTCATTGGTTCTCAACTGCGTCTGTTTCGTCTGTTCGCCTGTTTCGACGCCGAACGTCTCCTCTGTCGACTCGTATTTTTAGCTTCGTCGTTTGTTTCGATGCTAAGCTTCTGCGACTTCTACCTCATCTTCCACTAACACACTCAAACACAACTGCTCTGTCGTCGTCATCTGTTCCCGTAGCCGTAGCCTATCTTGCGTTTGTGGACGAAGGCGCCAGAGTCGTCTCGCTCCAAACGACCCGATCTTGCGTCTGTTCCCTTAGACGAAAGCGCTACAGTTGTCTCGCTCCAGACAACCCAAGCCCGACAGCGCCAACAGTTTCCTCGCTTCCTTGGCGCCCGTCAGACCATTTCTTTCCTGAATCTTGTGAGGGAGATGGCCTCGACGCTCCGTTCCTATGCAAATGCCCTTGCCGGCGACTTGCCCATTCCTGCCTCATGCCCCTCCTCCAGGAGTCTGCTTTTGCTATCGATAAGTCCTGCAATGTTCAACAATCGTACCACGAGGCTCTTGAAAGTGACGACGAACACGCTTTTATTAAAAAGCTTGGGGAAAAAAATGTGAAGTCTGCACTTATTTTCACTGAGGTTGAAACTAGTAATCTAGCGTCCTTTTAGCGGTTTGCTTTAGTTGGGAAATTCTTTTATGGTCACCTAAAATTGGAGATCATTATAAAAGAATTTGATGCTATGAAACTATTGGACAGTTGGAACATTGATCTACTAAACGGTCGACATATACTTATTCAGTTATCTCACGATACCAATTACACTCGCATTTTCTCTCGAAAAATTATCAAGATCGACAATCGTTTTATGAAAATTCTGAAGCGGACTGTCAATTTTGATCCAAAAGCGGAATCCCCTATCATTTCAGTTTGGATAAAGTTTCTGGGGTTAGAATTACATCTGTTCAACATGAAAATCCTATACTCTTAGTAACTGCTTACGGTAAGCCTCTCAAGGTGGATAGTCATACTCTTTCTGTGACTAGACCCTCGGTGGCTTGTGTGTTAGTTGAGAGAGATATCACTCAACCAGCTCCGGATAAGATATGGATTGGCACTATTCACACCGGGTATTGACAAAAGGTTGAAATAGAACTACATCAACCTTATTACTCTCATTGTAATATATTTGGTCACAGTTCTACTATTTGTTATCGTTTGCATTCTCATCTAAGATCGAATATCGCTAAAGGTCAACCACCTACCATCATTGCTGAGAAGGTCCAATCCAATCATCTTTCCAACATCGCAATTCCACATGAAGAACACCTTACTACAGGTACATATCCAAATGTGCTGATACCACTTACTGTTATTGAAGAAGGTCCACTAACATGCCAAGACAAACGAGAGTGCTCTTTCGACCCGATAGAAGATCAGCTGTTACAACAAGTAGTTGCTTCTAATTTTCAACAACCTACATATATCCTACACGCTTCAGACCATTATGTTGATCAGGTGAGTCAATCTTCGGATGAGGAATGACAGGGAAGAAAAAGAACGGAGGACGACTCGAGCTAGGGAATCTATTGGATGATACATTGGCACTCATCTGACCAATTTATTAGTTGGCTCCTTCCCTAGAACTAGAGGCAGAGGCAAGGCAAAATCGGGTCGCTCTCCAGCTACCTGATACTCTTATTTTGAAACCTTTTGGTTTTTTATTTAAATCTATTGTGTTTTTTGATGTATTTTCTCTTTTTTTTTTTACCATTCCCTACATTTTATTTAATATATTAGCCTTTGGGCTTTCAAATATATATATATATCTATATATGTATATGTATATGTATATAGACACACACACACATACATACATACATGCATACATGCATTATAAATACAACATATATTCAAGTTCTATGATGCTTAAATGACCCCATACAATGAAAAGTGTAAAAACGTTCACATGTGCTTAAAGCAATCAATATAAATTTTCAATCCATTAAATAATTTTTTTTAGCTCTTGTGAACAAGGGCTCATTTGATTTAGGTTCAATACTTAACAAAATGAGCAAAACAAGGAACTAGATCACTCATTTTCAACTCGTATTTTACATTTCAAATGATGAATTCCCAACAATAGCTAAGCAATTTTTCAAGATGTAAATTAGTCAAGTTGAACCAAGTACTAAAAATTTAAAGTTTGTTGATAAATACTTTTCCAAGGACTGAGCCAAATTTTTTACACAACCAAATTTTAAAATCTTGACAATAATTTATATTTAAAATCTTGATAATAATCTTCAGTCAATCTAATCCAAAAAATAAATGAATCTACAAGATTTTATCTAGGAAGTTATGACTCGATGAGCCGTCAGTGCTTTGCAGAACTAGGTGAGTGTCAAGCTTTTAGCATCGTTGTCGGGGAGCAGCAATAAATTTGATTTAATAAAATTTTAGTTTAACTTTTAGACCTTGAATTTGAAAACTGCAGTGTTTACTATTTCCTATTCTCTTAATTTTTTGTCATAACTTGTAAAATCCAAAAATATCTTATTTTAAATTTGTTTGATTGTGCACTTGCTTTGTTTCTTACTTTCAATTCCTGCATAGAACCTCTTGTTTACTTGTT